AGGCTGAGACGTGTCTGCAAGGGGGAGTAGAGGGGGTTTTTAAAGGGATCTGAACGCCCTGAGGCTGGATGCCTCGCCGAATAAGAAAAGTGATAATCCATAATAAAGCTAAACCCGACCTGCCTACAGATCGTACTCGTAGCCATACATAAGCGCAGCACCCCAAATCGATGCAGGCGTCACCACCCAAAACTCTACACGGCCATCGGAGTTTCCCAAAAATTGGGGGGGGAGGCCCTGTACAGACACTCAAATTTGTACAGTCCTTCTTTTGGGGATTTCTGGACCCCCCCCCATAGGAGTGCTTGGTTCAACTCTAAACCTCACGCGTGAAACCTAGATTCCTAAGCGTCACACCGTGCCTGCAGCGCCCCGTGCGGGCGGAAGCCCTGAACCCTGAGCTGATGAGGCATCCCATTTGCGCTCAGGGCGCCCTCCAATCTCCCATCCACATCGAAAGGTGGGGGTTTCGGGGTGTTAGGCGCCCAGGGCTGGCGTGTATTGCGGCTGTAGAGGTTTCAGGTTTTGAGGGTGGGAGTGGATTTTTTGGGGGTCGTAGGGTTTAGGGCATGGCGGTGGAAGCGTGTCCCATCAAACGCCACCTGCCTAGCATGAGTTCTAAGAAGGGTTTAGGGGCTCAGTTTTTTGGTTTTTGGATTTGTTGGGTCTCAGTTGTTGACCTGTTTAGACTTCTACGCGTAGGGCTTTAGTAGTTTCAGGGTTTAGGCGTCAGCGTTCGAGAGGGTCTGTGATGTTTGCGGGCTTACGGGGTGAGAGGTGGGGCGTCATCCAGTACCTAGACCCCACCCGTCGACCCAATTACCTACAGTTTTCCGGGGATATACCTATTAATTATGTGGTAATTCCTCCTAAGCTGTAGGTAATTGGGGGTTAGAGGTAAATCCCTAAAACCCTCAGAATGCCAGTCCAGATTCCCTTATCTGGGTCAGGTTAGTCCGGACCCTGGTACCATTAGGAGGTGTGTTCAGCACCTTGGGGTTTCGACATGGAGGTGCTGCCTCAGACCCAAGCTCCTAAACCTTGAAGGGCTTAAGGTTTCTGGCTGGCTGAGCGTAATAGTAGTGGTGTACTCCAAAGCGCCCTAAACCTTAAAGGGTTTCAGGTTCAGGGCTTAGCAACAATCCCAAGACCCGTAAACCTTAAAGGGTTTAAGGTGTAGGGCTTAGTAATAGTAATGGTGTACCCCAAAACCTCCAGTGCCTCAAGGTGCACGAACCGAAGTGAGGATCGACATCGAGCACGGTTTAGGGTTCAGGGTTTGAGCTGCGCATGGTATTTTCTGAAAAAGTGGACACCAATATAGAGCAATAATGGAGAGCCAAAGGGAAAATGAACGTGGAAACGAGGGCTTATGTAGGAAGTTGTTCCACCCAATATGGAAACTGGAGTTATGCTGTGGCTTAAGGCAAGCAATGTATGGGTCGTGACGGGCCTGGCCATAGTGGAGGCTCTCAGGATCAGGTTTGAGTCAGAGCTTAGAGTAGAAACCCCTGCCCAGAGTTTAGGGTTTGCAGTAGTGACCCTTGCCAACAAAGACATAGTACCCGACTTCGGTCGCTCAGAACTCAGTGACTTTGGGGACTGCAAGCTTCCGTCTCAGACGCGCCTGCCCAACTTTTGCGCGCCACTTGAATGTGAGGTCTTCGGTGAAGAAGGCAGGAAAGGACAACTTCTTGAACAAGTGCCTTGGATTGTTGTGGACTCCTGTGCAAAGTTTGCGGCCCTGATGTTTCAGTGGGGTGTACCAGAACAACGATGGTACGATGGGATATCGATGCAGGTTGGTTTTGCATCAGCGGAGGGAGTTTGACCTCGAATGAGAAGTCTAGTGTAGATTACTGGCATGTTGATACTTGGACTTCGTTGTTTTGTTTCATGTGGTGTCTGTGCGCCGCACTACTGCAGCCATCGCCTGTGCCCCCTCTGCAGTTGCGACTACTCGTTTAAGTCTATTTCGAAGATTCGTTCTAATAGCCCGTTTTAATGGACTTTATCTTCCCATATCTCCCCTCCTTGCAAAGATTCGGGTTCTGCTACAAGCGCCTCTCGCATTACGGGGCAGGCGTCCGCTAGCTGGCCCTGCACTACCTGCTGCTTTCACCCAAGACAATCCCCATGTTGCTTTCACGAATCGCTTCTAAACTCTGGGAACTTGCCAAGGTGCAGCTGGCGTCCGGTCAAGAACCTCCATGTTGTGCCAGAGCCTCAAAGCTTTCCACGTTCAGCCGCACAGGTGCTGAGAAGTTTGGTCTGTAGCGGCCGTTTCTTGCGGCGGCCGAAGTCGTATGCAAATGCTCTCGGGGAACATCGCTTCCTTATCGTGGTGCCTTCTTGCAAGAAGTGCATCCCAAGATCGGCTGTGTGTCTAGAGACTACACGGGGTATCTCTAGAATAAAGCCAAACCCAATGTAAGCATGTATATATACATATATAATAATTGTGTCTATGCATGCATACAGCCCCGAAGCCTGTACAACCCTACTGCCCTTTAAAGGTAGCCTTGAGCCCCTAGAATACACCGTCCCAGTCTCAAGATCGCAGGAGACATGTTGAATTGGCAGATTATTGTTATCACTTGTTAGTATTGTTTCCAGCTTACTACTCATTACTATTATTGTTATTGTTGTTGTAGCTGCTGTTCTTGGCACAACTAGTATGCTTCCACGAAGAGGCAAGGTTGATCAAGTTCTCATGGCCATCACTGACCATACCATAGATGGATATGGGGGTCTCCAAAAGTTACGTCTTTTATTTGGGCACAAAAGAAAGAAGAATAGTTGCTTCGAGTAGGTAAGAGACTCCCTAAACCCCGAAAGAGCCCTTCCACTTCCTTTCCGACCTCAAAGTGTGGAGTTCAAGGGCTCTAAGCCCCTGACGAGATCCCTGCACTGATGTGGGTAACCTTGTATGGAGTGCATATAGGATGTTTTGGCTTTAGGATACCTAAACCTTAAGCCCTACAACACACACCGAGGAACTTTGGTAAGGGCCTTGTCATTCCGAGCACACAGCTGGGCAACTTGTCAGACATTATTCCACGTCCCACTTGTTGCCCTGAATTGGGTTGATGGGTTATAGGGCTTTAGAGTTCAGGGTTTAGACCTTAATCCGTAAACACTAAACCCCAATAGTGAGCATGCAGGGCCTAATAGGAGGGTCGATGTTCATAGATTTCAATGAGGAGTTCACAAAGCAAGATCGAGGCTGGTTGTCTTGAGAACTTCCCTGCTCAGCACAAGGTCTGCGGTTGATGCAATGCAATGACGTTTGCCTTTCTGATTGCTAGCCGGGTAGGCCTGTAGATGAAGTCCATTGTGTAAAGTGCGTCGCCACGGGCCGTCCCAGCGACAGATAAGTCACACTTGGTTAAGGGTTTAGGGCATTTCCGGGATAAACGGGTGCAGCAGAAGCTTTTTTCACACGAAGACTTGATCACGAGGCTCAGCTATGATTTCCTTGATTATCTCAGCACAACCCCTTCGTTCTCCAACCAAGCCCAATTTAGAGGCTGTGATTTACCAGCTAGGCTTATATGGGATTATCATCTTATGATCCTACCCATACTTGCCTGAGCTAGCTTCATCTGGTCACCCTTGAAGTAGCAGCTCAAACGGCAAAAACACAATTTTGGGGTCCACGAGTACTACTGAATTAGTATGCGTTGGCAGTAGTTTTGGAATTTCCGAAAATCAGGAGTCCGTGTTCGGGTCCCTATGATGGGGATTGTGGTCTATGCTTGAGCCCCCTACTTATGGAAACCCCTGTTTCTGGGCGGGTACTTCATGTTGGTTCAGTGGTTGCCTGCTCCTTGGGAGCGTAGCACATGTTTGTCGTGTCTCTGGCAACTTCAGGAACCCATTGACTCAACGGCAAAGTTTGTGAACACGTTTCCCATGAACACCGCCTAGAATGCCCGCATGCCATGCTTCTGGTCAGGGGCTGGAAAAAACATTCACGCTATGCACTACTTGGATGATGCGGTAGGAGGGGATGGTTGTCACAGGCTTGGTCATTGTGCGAGTCCCCGAAATAATCGGGGTCCACCAAAGGAGACCCGCATGGCATACATGTTTGCCTTACGAAGCCCTGCTGGGTGGTTTCACACGCTGATTCCCGGGAACCCTAACAGTGCGGAAACAAAAGACCAGTTTTCTTTCTAAATCCTCAAAGCCCCAGGCCGCAGGAAGCTTTGAAGTTCAGTTTGCTCCTTACAGCCTTTAGCTTGCAAGGGCTTAGAGTTGAATTGTACTTGGGTCTAGCGTCCCACATACCGTAATTAAGGCACATTCCATGGTCTCCCAGGGAGTTTGTGTGCTTACAATTCCTGGTCCAGTCACACTATGGATGCTTGGTTGTATGGGTTCTTTCAATTTCAAAAGTTTTGTTTTTAACAGCACAAAGTTGTCCTGTGCACGGCATTTCACACTTCCAGTCTCGCTGAAGTCTAGAAGTCAAGCCGGTGAGCGCTTGTGCTCTCGGGTCCCGCTGGAAGCTCCATCTAGCTTTGTGCAAACCTAGGTGCTAAAAGAGATCCAAACCCAAGCATGGGCAAAAATCCCTGGGCTGAACACACCATTGCTGCCAAGCCTCAAGAGCCAACAGCCCTTGCCCAGGCTACATTGAACTGACTGGTGAGGACTGCTTCAGGTTTAGCGTTGTTTTTAGGATTCAGGGCTTAGGGTTTAAGATGTAGGGGCAGGCCCATTATGGCGCAATTCTTACTGCTATTGTTGGTTTTTCACCATCGTTGCTGCTAGCGCCCCTGTTGCCACAGCTAGCCTGCACATGCTAAGCTCGGACCCTGGAGAGTAACCGCTGAACCCTGAACTGTTTATGATACCTTGTGGTTGGCTATGTGTGTCGTACCTGAATCTTTCTGTTGAATGTATATGAAACAGTGTGGACTTCGTAGATGCACACATATGCACATGGGTACATCTATACTGCATATACATATATATTTATGTATATGTATATGTATCTATATCTCTCTATATAGATATATGTGCAAAGCTGCATTCGGGTGTTCTCAGTTCATGCAAAACCTCGGGCCCCGATGACTACCATCGTCTGTCTTTGCAAGGGTAGTTATCGTCCATTCTGGGTCGACTTGAGAAAGTTATACTGCTGCGCTGAAAACGGCGCCCTACACGTGGCATGCTATGTACATAAGGCACGTGATCTCAAGGTCAAATGGGGAAAGTATCCACGGGTCCGGGTCCTGTAGATAAGTTTGAAAGGAAATGTGAAGGACATTAATGGCCTCCTGGAGATCAGGAATTGTGATCAACTACCATGCACGCTGTGGTGTCCATTCCCTTCTGGTTTCAATGCCGCTGCTTCTGTCTAAGCTTTGAGCCATGGGCCCTTACTTCGGGCCCTTCTTTTCAAATATACCGATTGTATTCCCAACAATAAGCAGGTCGGTTTGAACTTCGCATTCTTTGGTTCAAACCCTAAGCCACGGGCTCCCGGTAGAAATGCTTGAACCCTAAATCCCAAACCTTAAACCTTAAACCCCCAACCCTAAACCCTAAATTGCCGTGCCTGCACTCTGTGCGATGCGCGTGTCTAAACCCTAAATCCCAAACCTTAAGCCCTAAAACCCCTCAACCCTACATCCCAAAGGCGACACCCCTAAATTCTGGCCTTCTCTTGTCAGCTAGCAGGACGGCTTTCCCGACTTCTTTGAGGCTGGGTACGTTTGGGGTTCAAGGCTAGGGTTTAGGGCTTTAGGGTTTCAGGGCTTAGGGTTTAGGGTTTAGGGGCTTAGGGTTCAGGGCAGTCTCGAGTCCTGGGCGCAAACAAGTTTTGGGGTTTAGCGTTTATGGGGGCTCTTTGGGGCATGCTGGTGGTTGAATATGATTGCTTCTTCTGTGAGCCCTGATGCCATGAGCCCCCTCTCGGTTTTACTTGGTGACGCCCTGGACTCTAAAGGGTCAGGCTGCACATCTCCCAAACTGCCAACTCTATACCCAAGATGCGAACCCGGCATGCTGCTCAGAGGTTTAGGGTTTATAGCGGGGCCTGGGCATTGCCAAAGACTGGCATATAGGCAGGCGCATTGAAGCTGTTCATTGCATCGATTTGTTTTTGCGCATGGGCGTTTCAGTCTCCAAGGGCCGAGTTGCGCATTGAGCGATTGCCTGTGAGAGCGCCATTTCAGATTTCTATATAGATCTATGTAGTTAATTACTTGAATAATTAACAGAACATCCCAGAACCCACCCACCCCAATTCATAATTGGGCGGCCCCTTTAAATGTAATGTCACCTTTTTAAGGTGCTCTTTCGACTTTCACTCCCAAGATTTCATTATTTAATATCAGGGGCTTAATATTAAGGGGAAGTGATTATTCTTATTCGACTTATTCTTAGCAGTACTAATTTGAACGTTTGCGCTAAGTTTGAAACGCTGACGTGTTGCAATTACTTTACTATTAGGGGTTGTAATGCTATTGTAATACTATTGAGTTATTTGTTCTTACTACATTCCCACCCTAAACACTAAACCCTCTTAAACCGTTGTCTGAATTCCCTTACGATCTCAAACAGCATCCCCAGATTGTGAATTCTCCTGCGTGCAACTCCCTGACCCTGACTTTGGGAAGCCCTTGTTCACGTGTGGAGTGTACGATGTAGCGTGACTGTTTAAGTTTAGCTTAGGGATTAGGCATTTGGGTTTGGGGTTCAGGGCTTTGGGTTAAGGGTTAGATAGGGACACTCCCAACTTATCACAAGTGTAGCCAGCAAAAAACCTTTGATCCCTTACAAAAATTACGATGGATCACACTTGTGTTTCTGAATATGCCTACTTCGGAGAACCTCATCTAATCCTGCCAAGGTCGCGCAGGTACAGCTCCACATGCCTTCTGAGCATATGCCTCTTAGCTTGCATGGGGTTCTAGAATTGCTGGGCAGGTCTTCTGGAGGGAAGTGAGCCTCAGGTTGTAGAGAACTTGAGTGTGTCTCAAGATTGCGAGAGTTCGCAATCATGTTCCTATCATTTGTAAGGGCTTGGAGAAAGGCCAAATAGAGAGCGGGCAAGCCGTTTGAGAATTGCTCACTGGAGATTGCACGTTGCCATCGGCTGTGCCAAACCTCTTCTTGGAACCCCAATGTCCCGCTCTGAGGTTTCGCTGTACTGTTATGGATAGTATCCTCCGGAAAGCAGCAACAAGCGGCAAGCCTTTTGAACAACGAAATTTCACACGCAAACACCGAGAATGACTGCTGTATGGAGTTGTGCTGCGGACATGCAGACATGTGGCTGCAAATCAAAGAGGGAGGTTTAATTACAAGGTCGGGCGGCCATTATGCGAAATAGGGTGGTAACAGAATTGCCCTGCTTCAGTCTAACCCCTTTGCGAGACAGCTCTTTTGTGCAGCATGCATATATGGGGGTTTCCCAAAATTAGGGGTACCGTTTTGGGGATCCTAAGAATAATGACTGTAGTATTTTGGGGTCTACTATTTAGGGAAATTACCATATGAAGCTTTCTTGACAAAGGTATGTCACTGCAGGCCGCGACATAGGGGTATGCAACACGGGCCCGGACGTGGCAGGGGCCTGCGACCAAACGGGATTTTGATCAAAACTCATAGGCATCATAAGGGTTACATGGGGGGTTGCCAAAAATGTGGCCCCCTTACAATGCCCAGCTTAAACACCACAGTCCTTGCTATAGCTACTGTTTTGAAGAAGCTCCCATACATATGATAAGCAGCCCCGCTCGTTTCCAAGCTTTTGTTCCAGCGCTGATACCGTCATTTCCAAATTCCAGTCATGGCTTGAAGCAAATTAGTCAACACCATTCTCAGCAAGTGGGGCAGCTACTGAAGGAATATTACCTCCAAGATTTGTGGCTTGTAGGAAATTCCGATGATTCAAGAGAACTTCTCAAGGTTCCCCGATTCCTCAGTGTGCAGTAATAGCTTCCTTCTTTTCTGTTCCGGTAGAGATGGGGGATCTTGTCAGAACAGGGCCCCCAGAAAACCCTGGGGCCCTGGAGAACTCTCTTGGCACCCTGCAAGATGCCTGTTGGAGGAGTGCATGTACGCAAGGATTGAACGCTGAAACCTAGGATTGACGGCAAGAGCTTTGCCGCGGAGCTCCAGGTTGTGCACAGGCGACATTGTGCGAGTTGAGGGGTCTTCAGTTTTTTTGATTCAGAGGTGCTTCAATTGGCAAATTGTGTGTTGAGGGTGCTTTGTGTAAATTTGACCTTGTGATTTGGGGCTGGGAAGCCCCTCATCCTTCAAGGAAGGCATGCTTCGAATTTCGGGGGTTTCTTGGGCCTAGATTCGAGGGCTTAGGGTATAGGCGAACCCATCCTCTGGCCCAAGTGTTTAGAATTACCATCTTGCACCTCCGAGGTTGTGAAGCAAAGAAAGCAGTACACCTCCGCTGCCCTGTACGTGAATTTCCCAAAACTAGGGGTCATATTTTTTTGGAGGGTCCCCAGAATCAGGATTAAAGTGTTTTAGGCTCGTTTTTGGGGTGCCCGTATTGCTGGAAACTAGTCCAGTCCAAAATCCTGAGCCTCGTTACATGGCTTCCGTGGAAGCAGCTTGGAGCTTGCTGGCGAAAACAAGTTGAGCTGGTGACCCTAAACCTTGAACGCTATTAAGGAGTTCAGGGTCCACGTAAGGTTTAGGGCCTCAGGTCTAGGATCTGATGCTTTTAAATTTGCCTCAAGAATTCGCAGGCCTGCGGCCCCACTGCCCATATGAGCTGTACTCTGAAGTCCTTAAAAGGGGGTTGTCAAGGGGATTATATAGGTCTCCTAGTATACGGATATGTGGAGTTTAGAGATTAAACTATAGCTCATGTCCACAACTTCAATTCAAGGTTATATCGAGACGGTACCAAAGCAAATGTTCGGATTGTCAGATGTGTCCCTGCCCCCTGATACTGCTTACATCAAACAATTACAGTTACAGTATACCAAAGATAATTCCCAACCCCTAATATTACATATATCCAAATATTGTAGTATAAAAAGAGGTTTTACACACTAAATTCTAAAGGTTTCCTGAAGCCCTAGGCCCTAAACCCCAAACCATAAGTATGTCCTCCTTGCCCGAAAGCTGAGAGACTCAGCTGTTCTTGGGAAGACGCCAAAGTACACTGACGGGTGCGCATGGCCCTCGCAAAAGCCCTAATCCCTGAACACTAAAGCCTGAACCACGTTTTGTGCAGGCACCAAGCCTCGGTGACGCAGGCAGTCAACAGTGCCGATTCGTTTCCCTTTGTGCCTTGACGGCAATGGGGGCAACTTAGGGGTTCCACTGAAGGGTTCACAGGACCGCATTACCTTACTCTGAGGCCCTAAATACGATTTATTTTCCCCTACACATATGTATATATGTATATAAATATCTGTTCATATGTACATACACGCAGTCCCTAAAGCCTAACCCCCTCTATATATGCATATATACACAGAAATACATCTGTTTCATTCAGGTATTGGTGCATGTAAGGGTCCAGAGGCGAAACCCAAGGTTTAGAGCTTCAAACTACAGGCCCGGGCTATGGGGAGGTTTGTGCTTAAGTGCTTATTAGGGTTTAGGTTTAGGGATGAAGGTTTAGGGTTTAGGTCTGGGGGCTTAGAGGTTCGGGGTCTGGGTTTCTATTTGCCCCGGTATTGTCCCAAGAACTGTTTATCTCTATGTATTGGGTGGGCTCCATGATAAACACTAACTCCATACTGTTCAGGAGATGCAGTGGGACCGCAATACCCTTGATTGGAAGGTAAATCTTCTACTCAGTTACTCTGGGACTAGTGAATAGGGATCCTCTAGTCCTAAACTCTAAAGCCATTAGTCGCATCAGTCTGGTAATGCCCTCACCCCTTTTCAAACGTCAGTCACGGGGTATAGGTGAAGGCACATATGATTGACTGTTTGTTGGAGGCTGAACCCTCCAGGGTGGACATGGGGGTCGCTCTTGTAGTTTTATGTAGTCCCTAATATAACCCCCTAGGAAGGAACCTTGTCCATTGGCTATCTGGGAAATATTGACTGTAGCTCATATAAGATACAAGTTCGGTAGGAGTTCGATAGGTATTGTGCATCATGTGAGATCCGGCAAGAGTCGCCCCCCCATGCATTCCCAGCAGAGTTTGGTTTGGAGAAGAAGCTTGATCTGGATTTTCAAGGAGGAGTGATGGGGGTCTTTGTTGGGGTTTTATATAGAGGTTGGTTTGAGAAATACCCGTTTGAGAAATATTGGAACTAGCATGTGGTGACATATTTTGCCATTGGAAGACCGTTGTATTCTAGTAGGCCTCATACGCATACTTCAAAGTCATGCTCTGAGCATTGCGTCTCAGACTTTTTTGAGCTCATATTTGCTGGAACAGGCCAACTCCTTCATGCCGAAGCAGGAAGAAAGATTCGTCAAGGATACCTGCGTCCTCAAGTTGGATCATGGAAGTCTCGAAGCTACTTCAATTTGAGGAGGTGTTTGAAACGACCACAGGTTGTAGACACAATCCGCAAACCCAACGCCATACCCTCAAAAGGGTTTGAGACAAAATTAACAAGCAGCAGCAGCAACAACGACGACGACGACGACGACGACGACGACACCACCACCACCACCACCACCACCACCACCAACAACAACAACAACAACAACAACAACCACAACCACCACCACAACAATCCCGGCAACAGTCACCACCACC